CCGGCTGCGGTCCTCCCGAGCGTCCTCCCGCGCTGCGACAGCGGAACCCGGGGCCGCGGGCTTGGGCGCGCATAGCCCAAGCGCGCGCACTGCCCCACGCCCCTACTCCGCAGCCCACGCCTCCGGATGCCAGAGCCGGCGTGTAACCTTGGGCGCGGGTTTTGCCCACCCGTGTCTCAGTTTCCCCATTTGCGCACAGTGCAGCCCACCGGGCAGTCTCTTGAGGCGTTAAAAACGCTAGAATTCTGCTCGTTTCCAGGGTAGGAGATTGAAGGGGGTCTTATGTGCCCCCCACAATAAACTGGGTCGCTCAATTCTGTGGGGTGGGGGGCGGGGTAGGGTGGCACTCCACTGTGGACGCAGGGTCGAGGTTCTGCTTGGTGTGAAGGAAATGAATGAAGATCCCCCTGGAGGGTAGAAGGTGACTGCCAGGAGCATCAGTTACCCTGCCTGTCCTGCCCCTGCCCCAACCCCTCAAAATACTCCGGTGAGGGGGCTTGGGGGCAAGTCTTGCGCTGGGCACGTGCACCCAACGGGAGCCAGTTTAAGACAAAGCATCTAGGGAAGGAAGAGGTTTTGGTGCAGGAATAGGATTGAGGAAGGGGGCTCTGATGTGCCCTAAGGAGAAGCAGAAAGCAACAGCAAAATGTCTTCTTCCGATAGGAAGAATGTAGAGATGGTTGTGGCAGATGTGTGTGTGTGTGTGTGTGTGTGTGTGTGTGTGTCCCGATGCTTAATGCTTACGAGCACTCACTACAAGGCAAGAGGCTTTTGGTGCTGCTTCATACACATTATCACATTCGGTGCTCACAGTGACCCCTGGTGTGGGTGCCTCTGTTACCCATTATACAGGGTCTACAAAAGCACCTGGTTCCAGGGAGCATAGAGGGTTTGGGTTTGTAGAAGAACCCGGCTTTTCATGATCCCTGCTGCTTCTCATTTAACCCTCCGTGTGGATGGACAAAGAATTCAGGTTCCATGAAATCACAGACCACCGAGCCTACTACCCCTGTAGGAGTTCTTTGCCTGGCCCACTTCCAGATACCCAGATTGAATTGGGGTGCCAGGCATGGACCTATTCTACGGGAACTCCAGTGAGTTTCAGAATAGCTGTTCAGGTAGCCCACCTGTTGTTATGTGGATGTAAGAATTAGCAATTGAAGTGTGTTTCAAATTTCACTGAAATCAATATAGCTACACCATATAAAGTTCCCATTTTTGTAAAGGTCCCAAGTGGTCATCTGTTAGCTCTGATAGCTTTGAGATGGTACTTCCCAGTCTTTGTTAGGCTATGAGCTCCTTTCATTCTATGTCCCCAAGAGCTCATATGAGCAAATACCGAATCCCTTCTCCTGAGTGGCATCCCCATGCAGGACACCTCCTCTGTGAATTCTCCCTGACTCTTCCCCTACCCACCCACCATTAAAGGTGACACCCATCTCTCTCTATTAGGTCATCTGTTGGTTTGTCTCCTCCCCTCTTGGGATTGGAAGCCTCTAGAGGGCAGCAACTGGGGGGCCAAGGAGGATTGTGGGGCATCAGCACTATTTGTGACTGATTGGACAAAAATGCCATTTTCCATTACTTAACTCTCCTGCCTATGCCCAAGTGGTGGCAAAGTCTGCAGGATTTTACTTTTCATTAAGGTACCTGGAGTAGTCATTTATTTTTTAATTTGCTAGTGTCTTCTAAAGTATCTAGAGTAGATTCTCTTGTTAAAGGGATGGGGTATTTTTAAGTTCCTATGGTTTTATGAATAACGTCCTCACAATTGATCAAGAATGAAAGACGCATGACCAAGAAACCTGGTTGCAAAGTTCACACCTATGTATTCTCAACTCAGCCTTCATCCAGATTTAATAGATAAAGTTGGTATCAATTGCTCTCTAAATTGGTTATATCAGGGTTACTGAAAAGAAGCTCACCCCAGGACCCATTGCCCTTTGGAATGGTGGGGTTCACAGATAATTTAATGTCCATCATCCCCTTTGGTCCTCAGAGCATAAAATTCCTGGAAGCTGTCTAAGTCAAAGAGATGCAAAGTCCCAGAGCATGGTGGAAGCTTGGTCTCCTAATTCCAACTCAGGAGTTAAGCCCCGTGAGGGGTTGCCATTATCCACACTCTGGACTTGTCCTCTGATATATCGATACTCTCTCTTCCCATTTGCCAGACTGAAAGGAGAAAGCCTTCAAATGGCTATATTGCAGCCAGAATGACAGGGAAGTTATCTGAACTGTACTGATACTTCCCCGCTCTCCATGGTTGTCATTGAATTTTTTTGTCTCCCAACATTCATATACTGAAATCCCAACCCCCAGTAACTCAGAACAGTGACCTTACTTGGAAATAAGGTCGTTGCAGATGTAATTAGATGACACCACACTGGAATAGACTAATGCACCTAGCTTGTGGTGCCTCTTGGGTAACATTCTGTGTTCCAGAGGATGAATACTGGGGACAGGTTGCGCAGATCACAGCAAAGTCCCTCTCTTCTGGGAATTTCTACCTCCCCACCAGAGGTGAACAGGAGAGGCCCGTTGTCCGGGACATAGTGCCCTCCTGGTCTGGGAGGATGGCCACTCCCTCATAACCATATTTTCCCCTTAATAAAACAAAACATGTAATCACTTTGGCCTTCTTGTAGCCCTGTCCCCAGCACAGTGAGACATCAGCACCCCATCTGAGAAACGAAGCACTGCGGAGCAGGGTCCCCTGACTAATGAGGACAAGGACAAGATTCTCTGTGAATTCCCCAGTGGTCTTCAGGGTCCTTACAGTTCATGAAATAAGGCTCTTAGTAGTCACTGTCCCTGGGGGACTGTCTACAACTGGGACAAAGGCCACAGGAGAGGAGAGTACTCAGCACTTCCCCAAAGCCGCTGGGACTTGGTTATTTATAGTGACACAGGGAACCTTAGCCAACCTGCATTAAATGAACTTGTGGGAACCACCCTGGTGGTCAATAACAAAGATGGGGAGGAGGTGGAGTGAAGGCTCCCCCGAAACATACCAGGAAAATATTGAAAATGAGGCTGGCTGAGGAGAGCAGAGCGAGGCAGAAAGTCGTTCTGACAGCTGCGCTGAAAGCCAGGGGAAGCTTCAGCCTGAGGATTTGTGCTAAAAATAGAATCGCTGGCTTGTGGGTAGAGAATTTGACCCAATTAGAGATTACCAGTTTCAGGAATTACTGGAAAAGAAATCTCATTAAACAGGTTAAATATAGGAGCCAGAGTGATGGCTGCAAAGGCCGCATGGGATTCAAAGGAAAACCCAAACTCCAGAAGAGTTCATTTGTGTCTCCCAAGAAGGGAAGGGGACTTGGAGTTCAGGAAACACAGCACCTCACTGAAGGCACCTGAGAGATGAGCACAGGGAGGGCAGCAGGCTGGTACAAAGCTGTGCTGCCGCCCTGGGCGTGGCTTCGCACCAGGTGGCGTCCGCTCCCCACCTGGCCCGCCGCAGCGTGTGAAGGCCAGGAACCCGCCAGCCCTGGTCCCCCACTCGGTGTCTGCGCGGTGCTCAGGTCAGCCCCTGAGAACTGTGAGTGGAACCCCACCCAGCCTGCTCGGAATCCCCCCATCTCCAGGCCCTCGTTTCCACCTCCCAGTACGTATGTTTCCCTTCCTCACCCCACCTCCAATCTGTCTCCAGTCCTATCTCTAGAACCGCCCTGAAATAGCTTCCCCCTGAGCATTTCCTCTCAGCCTCCCTCGCTGCTTCATTTTTCACCACACACTTCTAAGGAAAACCCTAAGAAAAGAAGCACTATGTTTGTATGCATCCCAGAGACTGCAGGCAGCACACACACACACACTCACATACACACAGCGTTTCAGCTAATTTGACCACAGAATATCCCTTGGCACCGTTTGCCAGGAGATGCTGTGAACAAGGCCAGGCAGGCCGGAACACCACCGTGGGCGCGCGGGCGGGCGCTGCCTGCCCTCTCCCTTGCAGGCCTGTGCACTGCCCGCCCCCAACTCTGCTTGTGGTTTCCTATCAGTTCCTGCTGCCTCCCTGTGTGGCTGAGCCCTCTCCAAACTGTTTTTGCAGGGTTTTTCCCATTGATTGGCCAGAAATTTTTCAGCTACAACTGACAGGAGCAGATAGCCAAAGCAGTGGGACTCTTCACACTTGTCTTTGAAGGGTCCTGTGGTCCAACTCATGTTTTCTGGGCACCAACAGGAGTGACCAGCAATAAAAATATGATATATATATATATATATATATATATATCCCTCTGTACCTTCCAAGTCAGTTCTGTTCACATGGCAGCTAAGACAGCCCAGTGTCTCAGGGCCTGCCTGTTCAGGGCTGGTCCCTTGGAAGTCCTACTCAGCAGTCACTTGGAAGCCCCGCCAGAGCCAAGCACTTGTACACTCCAGGGACAATCAGTGTTCTCCCAACTAGTCAGAAGCCTGGGTCCTGTGTATACCCCAAGGCAAGGGAATATGGGGGGACATAAAATTTGACACCCCTTTTGGGCCACATCAGTGGGGAAGGCCAGGACACTGATAAAATGAAGCAGACTTCAAATCCACCATGGAAGGACCAACTCAGCATCCTCTCCATCGAAGGATCCCCACCATAGCTCCACACCAGTCCCCCCAACACTCCCCTTTTATCTCACCAGTTCTCAATGACTATCTTTAGAGTGGTTCAAATGGGGTCCCCTCAG